TGCATATTTTCTACATTAAACTAATGTCTTCTCCCGCAAAAATATATCATTTGTAATCAATGACAAATACTAGTGGGATCATTTTGCTGGGTCAAACATCATAGTTTTTTTTTTCCTTTTTTGGGATTTGTACATAAAAAATGACTCCTCTTATGATTGATGCTCTCATTTCTATTTTATGTATGTGTATCGGTGCTCCTTCGGAGGCCCACACAAACATCATAGTTTTTTTTTCCTTTTTTGGGATTTGTACATAAAAAATGACGTCTCTTATGATTGATGCTCCCATTTCTCTTTTATGTATGTGTATTGGATCTTTTTACAAAATTAGGACGTTAAACTTTTTATTTCTCTGATTGCATGAATATTCCGACATGCAACAATAAATCAACATGATAAGATAATTGTTTAGATTAGAAATTTGAGAAATTCAAACTTGATATACTTCTCAAAGAAAAAAAAAATATAATCAAAATTTATTTTAAGAATTTGATAATAAATTTGAAAATTTTATTAATAAAATAAAGCAACACCTACTTTAAAAAACTAGGGATGCTAACAAGATGCACCAAAAAAGTGTACTAAATGATGAATAAATAATTTTGTAACAATTCAATTTTAAAATTTTAATTTTTATTAAAGTGTATTTTATATATTTACTAAAAATTAGATGACACATAGTTCTAATTTATCACTAAATAAGATATTAATAAGAACTATGGGAATAGAATAATGCATCATTAATATTAAATAAATAAATAATATACATATAAATTCAAATATTTATCAAAAATATCAACTCAAAGTATATAGTATATTTTAAGCATTTTTCTCACTTTTTTACTTTTTAGACCACAATCACAATTTTATTTAGTTGCTGATTCCTTATTACGTTCTCGTTGCTTTTTTTAATTTTTTTTAAAGTGAAAAGCTATTAATGCATAATAGCTTTTAGAAAACACTTATTCAAAAATTATAAAGTTATTAATCATCCAAAAATAATAAGCTAACAAGTCTAGCATTTGTGCCTATATTTAAAAAAAATATATAAAAAAGATTGAATTTTAACTTGAAATTAAAGTGAGGGTTGAAGAATTAAAATAAAAAAATATTAATTTTATAAGTAATTAAAATTTATAAATAGTTTGACTACAATGTTCAATTCCAGCTTTCCATTATATATGCCTCTAACAACCATCTAGAATGGTGTATGCTTTGAGATCAATTAAGAAAGATTGAGACATCTAATTTCCCTTGGATTGTCATGAGATATTTTAATTGTTGTTATTTTTCATCTGAGAAGATTGGTGGGAATACTATCTCACAAAATCACCTTTTGGACTTTAATTCATGGTTTTCGATAATAATATTCTTGATATCCTTTTGGTAGGTGTAAATTTATATTATTTAATCAGGGGATTATTAATTCAATCCACATCAGGTTGGATCATGCTCTTGTTAATGAGGAATGGCTTTCAATTTTTTCCCAATTCTTACTTCTCTGTGCAAAGTCCCTCTTGTTCGGATCATTTTCCTATTGTTCTCCGATCCGCTCTAACATTAACGGCAATACTCAGCATAGGTTCTTATTCCAAAATTACTAGACTAATATTGATAGTTAATGGAGCACTGTTATCAATGTTTTTGCTTAGCCTTCTCTTGGAAACCCTATTAGTGATTTTTATAGTAAGGTTAAAAAGTTGAAATGGGCCATTAAGTCTAAATCTTGGGCAAACTCAAATTCTATCAAAGCCCATCTTTCCGAGCTTCATTGCTTTTAGACAGATTATTTAAACAAGCTCTCTACCACCCCTTTGGATCCTCAATTGAATGGCCAATTGAAACTTGTCAATCTTCAAATATCTGAATTTACATCTCACCTAGCTTCCTGGGTTATCCAAAGAGCAAAAGCTAAATGGCAATCCCATGGAGAGGATGATCTTAAGTTTCTATACTCTAAGATTTGCACCCGAAAAAAAACATGAATAATGGGGTTTTTTGGATCTAATTCCTCTCGTGATGCTGCTGTTAATGGTATCATCAACCATTTCCACTCCCTCTTTAACAACTATCCTCCCTCATCTGCTGATTTGACGAGCTTTTCTCTTGAAAATATTCTCCCTGATAGCTTGGCACAGTTCCTCTCTATGCTTATTTCTAATGAAGAATCAAGAAAGCTATTTTTTCTAGTTCTTTCTCCTCTGCCCCTAGCCCAAATGGATTCAATTGCCATTTTTACAAATCGGGTTGGCACATTTTAGGTCCAGTGGTTTGTCATGCTATTAAATCCTTTTTCTATAAATCATATTTAACTAAGGGTGTTAAGGCTATTGCTATAGCTATTATCCCTGAACCAAATCATGTCAGCTCCATATGAGATTTTAGGCCAATTGCTTTATGCAACACCTTCTATAAAATTATTTCAAAAAATTTAGCCGCTAGGCTTAAGCCTCTAATGCCCATGCTTATTGCTGACAATCAAATGAGTTTTGTTAAGTTTAGAATTTCCACAGATAATATTATCCTTGCTAAAGAGCTCTTGTCCAATTTTAATAAGAGATGTAATTTGAAAGATTTTTGTGCCAAATTTTATATCAGGAAAGCATTTAACATGATTTCGAGAGAGTTCTTACTTGCTAGGCTTCGCCAAAAAGGCATTCCCCCAAGTTCATCCAATGGATCAAGGTTTGCATTTCAAATGTTCATTTCTCTATCTCTATAGATGGAGCCCTTAAGGGGGTTTTTCCTTCGTTGAATGGCTTAAGACAGGGGTGCCCTCTCAGTTCTTACATCTTCTATTTTGTGATGGATGCTTTCTCCTCTCTATTGAATATTGATAACTTTGAGGTTTTATCTGTTTATGGTTCCAAAATTTCACATCTAATATATGTATATGACATACTTATTTTTGGGAAAGCTATTGTTCTCAATTGTTCCTCTTTGAATCAAGTTTTGAATACTTTTACCACTGCCTCTAGTTTTCATATAAATTATGATAAGAGCTTCATTCTCATCTCTGCCTGTTTGGACAACCCGACCGTAATTTGTGATGCCATGCATTTTTTTATCAGAGCAAAAAAACTTACCTTGGAATTCTTATTGGCATTAACAGATGCAAAATTGTTGATTTCTCTCTTCTTGAATCCATTACTTGCAAGATGTATGGTTGCAAGTCTAACCTCCTTTCTCTTGCAAGTCACTTATAGTTTGTGAAATTTACTATACTTAACTCTATTGCTTATTGGATTAGAGGATACATTTCTCCTAAAACTATCATCAAACACATTAAAAAGGTTTCTTTTAAATTTTTTACTTTTTGGAGATTGCTCTGCCGGTGCTAAACTTCATATGACCTCTTGGTACAACATATGTAAGCCTAAAGATAAAGGGGGTCTTGGTGTACCTTCCATCACTGCTCTTCAATTCAGTACAAAATGTCATCTCATCAGGAGGATTTATAATCAGGCTTCTCTCCTATCTAATTGGTTATTTCATAGATACACTTCACCTTGGAGACCTAGTCACCCTCTAGCACTAGGTTTTAGAAGTCTGTTTGTAAAACTGCGAACAAAGCAAGGAGCTCTTTTAACTTCAAGATTAATTTCACTTTCCCCATCTCTCTTTTTTGGGATCATCGGTGTAATGATTTGAACATTCATGAAATCCCTTCTCTTCAATCTCTTAAATTATCTTCCCTCTCTAATATGAGGCTGAAAGACTTTATTTCTAATTCTTCATGGAGCTCGCCTGACTTTATTCACCAATCACTATCTTATGTTGTTTGTTCTTCTGTTATTTATGAATGCTCAGAGAACTGCTGTTTATGGAAGAATAACTTCTCTGGGCTTTTAGTGATTATATGACTAAATTTTATAATGATCATCCCTTTTGTTCATGGGCTCGTCTTATTTGGCATAAACATCATGCGCAGGTATTCAATTTTTTTTTTTGTTGGTGCTGGTGGTCAGGCTGAAACCTCAGATGCTCTTATAAAATATAATATTGTTGTGGATAGGAGCTTCTCTCTTTGACAGACTAACTTAGAAAGTACTTCCCACTTTTCTTTTGAGTGTGACTACTATTTCTCTGTTATTTCTGGCATCATCTCGGGTGCAAGTACCATTTATTTTAGACCTACTCTACAACAATTGCTTGGTTGGATTCTTGATAATAATGATTTTAACTCAGACTCTATAAACCTCTTCCTCCTCCTCTCTTGCTGTTTGGTTTACTCTTTATGGTGTGAAAGGAATGAAGGAGGTTTGGTGGTCATGCTAATAGCAGTTCTACTCTTTGCCACATGATCAATAAATCAATTATCTCTAAAATCTGCAAATGGAAGAATAAGGAAAAAATTTTACCTCTGCTTTGATGCTTTTGGTGGTTCTCTCTTTTGAGATTTCTTCTGTGCTTTTTTTTCTTTGGTCTATCTTCAAATTGCTTCTCCTTTGCATTGTGTGCTGCTGTGACTGTTTGGCCTTTCTGTCATTTAGAGGTTGGATTTCTTTTTGTTGGGAAGGTGTCTGTTTTTGATTGAGATGTTTCATTGCCTAGGTTTTTGGATGGTTCAATTTTTGTTAGGGGCGATGATGATGGGGTAGTTTCCCTCTCTCCCCTAGGTCGGCGATTCTATGCAACTTTTTTTCTATTGTGATGACAGTTCTCGCAACCGGGGACAATTTTGATTTTGAGGACGCTACTCCACTTTCCTGAGCTCATGCTTTCAACTTGATACTTCTTGTTCTCCTTTTGACATGTGTATTTTTAAACTTTTTTTTGATGATTTATTTATGTTTTTCTTTTCTTGTAACTAATTTTACTTAATAAAAATTAGGCTCCGCCCTTATTATTATTTTTTTAAAAGTTATAAATGAAATTGCTTCCTTCCCTTTTAAAAAAATATTGATTTAAAATCTTAATATCTACTTATATTTTATTAAGACTGCTGTGCCAGTGAATTTATTCCTTTATTCTCCCAAAAAAAAAAAAAAAAATTCCGTTCACCGCTGCTCCTTGATCTCTCGACATTTGGCGTCCCTAAAAAAAGCTTTCCTTTTCGTGATTGGGCAAAGGAAAAGAGGCCCAGAAAAGCTATTATGCTATGGGCAATGGTGGGCAGACAAGGACGTCAAGTCATTCTGCAGTAGCTCTCTCCCTCTTCTTCAGCGCCCCACCGCTATTTCTGCTTCTAAAATACTTGAAACGAGATTCTTGTGATCTCACTCCAAACCTCTGGGTGCCATTACTGCTCTGGTTCTCACCTTCTTAGCCTAACTCTTTTGAAGAAAAGAAGATTTTTTGTGTTGATTGTGGAGAGAAAGGCGAATCTTTGGGGCCGTTTATTTCCTGCTAATCTCTTTCCCTTTCAAGAAAGACTGAGAAATCCACTGGTTTCTACACCAAAATCTCAATGGACAAAAAGATGATATGTCCTTGATTTTTTGAAGCTGAGTAAAGGGAGGAGGCGGTGGGTGGTGAGCTAGCGAAGTTTTGAACATGGGATCTCTTATACCCTCCTTCTACTCCCTTTTGATGGCTAGTTTTCTTCTTTTGACTTCTATGGCGGAGCTTCCTGATGATGCTCCCATGGCGGCGCTCAAGAAAGAGCTTCATGGTGTGGGATGGATTTTTCAGGGGTCCAACTATTGTTCATGGGTTGGGGTCACTTGCAACCCTCTGAATCTTTCCGTGGAAGCACTTGAACTCCCTCGCCACGGTCTTAAAGGTAACATTTCCGGCATTTCTGAGCTAAAATCTATAAAAAGGTTGGATCTTTCTGGCAATCTTTTTCATGGGTTCATTCCTCCCTCACTTGGAAGCCTCTCCGGGCTTGAGCTCCTGGATTTGTCTGGGAACAAGTTTGAAGGATTGATTCCTTCATCTCTGGGCAGTCTCGGGAGCCTAAAATCATTAAACTTATCAAATAACTTTCTTATTGGTGGAATACCCAATGAGTTGAAGAATCTAGAGAGGTTGCAGGAGTTTCAAATTTCTGGAAATAATCTCAATGGCTCTATACCTGAGTGGATTGGGGAGCTATCCGGTTTAAGGGTCTTTTCTGCGTATGAAAATCATCTGTTTGGTAAAATTCCTGAGAACCTCGGCACAGTTTCAGAGTTGGAACTGCTTAATCTTCACTCCAACCGGCTCGTAGGTGTTATTCCCGAGAGCATTTTCTCCTCAGGAAAACTTCAAGTTCTTGTTCTCACTCTGAACCAATTGACTGGAAGCATTCCAGAATCAGTTGGGAAATGCAAGAGCCTTTCAAGTCTAAGGATTGGCAATAATAAGCTAGTTGGAAGTGTTCCTCCGTCAATAGGCAACATTAGTAGCCTTACTTATTTTGAGGCAAATAATAACCATCTCTCCGGTGAGCTGCCTGTGGAGTTTGCGCAGTGCTCCAACCTTACTTTATTGAACTTGGCTTCGAATGGTTTATCAGGATTTGTGCCGATAGAGCTTGGTGATCTCAAGAACCTTCAGGAGTTCATAGTATCAGATAACAATCTCACTGGCGAAGTGCCCAGATCTTTGTTGAAGTGTAGGAACCTTAGTAAGCTTGATCTAAGCAATAACAGATTCAATGGGAGCTTACCACAGAATATTTGCAGCACATCGAGGTTGCAGTTTCTTCTTCTTGGTCAGAATTCTATAGGTGGGGAGATACCTCCAGTGATTGGAGACTGTGTGAGACTGCTTGAGTTGCAGTTGGGCGGTAATTATTTGACCGGTGGAATTCCGCCGGAGATCGGAAGGATCAAGAACTTGCAGATAGCTCTAAATCTTAGCTTCAATCACCTCCATGGCAATTTGCCCCATGAGCTGGGGAAGCTTGACAAGCTGGTTTCATTGGATGTATCTAACAACCAGCTATCTGGAATTATTCCTTTTGAATTCAAGGGTATGCTGAGTCTAATAGAGGTTAATTTCTCTAATAACCAGTTAACTGGTTCAGTGCCAATTTTTGCTCCATTTCAGAAGAGCCCTCCTTCAAGCTTTTTAGGAAACAAAGATCTTTGTGGTGATCCTTTGATTACTAGTTGCACTTCTGTTTCTGATACTGCAAATGAAAATAATCACCACAAATCTTCATACAAGATGGTTCTTGCTGTAATTGGGTCTGGTCTAGCTGTTTTTATCACAGTTTCAGTAGTTGTGATCCTGTTCACAATCAGAGAAAGACAGGAAATGAAAGCAAAATCAAGTGAGTTATGTGATGAAGAAATACCTGTTGCTTCTCCACTAGTGATAACTGGAAATGTTTTTGTTGATAGCCTCAAACAAGCTGTGGACTTTGATAGTGTTGTAAAAGCTACTATGAAAGATACAAATAAGCAAAGTAATGGAACTTTCAGTACCGCTTATAAGGCAATCATGCCTTCAGGGCTTGTTCTTTCAGTGAAAAAACTCAAGTCCGTGGATAGAACTGTTGTGAATCACCGGAACAAAATGATAAGGGAGTTAGAGAGATTTGGAAATCTCATTCATCCTAATCTAATGAGACCTATTGGTTATGTGATATATGAAGATGTAGCTCTTCTCCTTCACCCTCACTTAGTTAATGGGACATTGGCACAGCTTCTTCATGAATCTCCTAAAGATGAGTATGAGCCAGATTGGCCTCGAAGACTTTCAATTGCCATTAGTGTTGCAGAAGGTTTAGCTTTTCTCCATCAAGTTGCCATTATTCACTTGGATATCTCATCTTGCAATATCTTCTTGGACGCACATTATAATGCTTTGCTGGGGGAGATTGAGATTTCAAGGCTTTTGGACCCATTGAAAGGAACTGCAAGTATTAGTGCAGTGGCTGGCTCTTTTGGCTATATCCCTCCAGGTAAAACCTGCTTCTTCATTCCCTTCTACTCTGTAGCCTATTATTATATGAAAATTTACTTATAATTTCAATCATTTGATCTAACACCCCACAATATCTCTAAACAGTACTGTAGAGTGTAACAATAGGTGAAATACTAGCTGCTGTAGATCCCACCATAGCCTGCATTCTTTCCATCATTTGCATCATCATACACAAGTAGGAACTGATGCTGCTAATGTAATGTCAGGGAATTTAATGTGAATGCAGCATCTAATAATTTAAAAATTCAATAAAGATTAAAGACATAGTTATAGAGCCAAACCAAATAAATCCTTCATTGGAATGTTTATGTTAGTAATGCTCCCCGTACTATTAAGAGGTACTTTGGGGTGTTACATTTGATGCATGGTTTGTTGTTCTTCATTAATGTTCCTCATCCTCTACAATTCAAAAAGCCTTCATATGTGGAGCTGAATGATCATGCCATTCCTTCTTCCGACAGATGCTAACTGCTTGTAACATTTCTTTCAGAATATGCTTATACAATGCAAGTTACAGCTCCAGGAAATGTCTATAGCTTTGGCGTCGTTCTTCTTGAGATCTTAACAACCCGGCTGCCGGTAGATGAGGTATTTGGTGAAGGTGTAGATCTTGTTAAATGGGTTCACGGTGCGCCGGGGAGGGGCGAAACGCCTGAGCAGATAATGGATGCTAGGCTCAGCACCGTCTCCTTCGCATGGAGGAAACAAATGCTTGCAATGCTGAAGGTCGCCTTGCTGTGCACTGATACCTTTCCTTCAAAGCGACCGAAGATGAAGAAAGTGGTGGAGATGCTTTTTGAGGTGAAGCAAAGTTAGATCTTTATATCTTTATCAGATATTTTGCTTAACTTGATTGCTGTTCCAAGCCTCTGGTTCTATGGCTTCACAACTGGGGTGCCTGAATTTCAAGTGAGTTCTTATGGTTCCAAATCTCTCTCTCTATAAATATATATATGGATGCTTTGTATATCAATGAAGGATTGCTAGGCAAGGTTGCCTCTTTAATTTTGCTAATGTGGAATCTGATTTAGGTGTTTGGCTTGTTGTATGATAAACTACTTTCTACAGGTCAAGCATGCAAATTTTTCCTTTTTTTCTTGATGTTGAGTTCTGAAATAGCATACTTGGGACTTTTATTTTTAGATTCTAGCTATTGAAGTCTATCAAGGGAGAAATTATTTTGTGGGGACGTCGAACACAATTTACCGTTTGTAGACTAATCAAAATGCGTCACGTTAGCAGTACCGAGCCAGGCACCGAGTAGGGGGTGACGTGATGCATTCTAATTGGGCTCTGGACGTCGTTCGGCATCGAATTTCTCCTATTAAGGATTGCTTGGAGAAGTTTTTTTTTTCATAGTTTTGCTTTTCAGGCAGCTGTCACACTTGTGTTTGGCTAAACTCTTTAGCTTTTTTTTTCATATGGGAAAAGTCTATAATTTTTAGAACAACTTTTGAAAAAGCTTTTTTTTTTTTCTCATGATAGTTTTAAAGCTACTTTTAACATGTTCTTTTCTCTTGAATGCTAGATTGATTCTTGTGCTGATTTTTTTTTTGCATTTTATGAATTCTCTATATATTAAGATTTTGGTACTAACAACATAGTGCTCAAATCTAACAAATTACTCAGTTTATAATCTTCTCCTTTGCTCTCTTAATTATCATGAGGAAGATTGAATAATTCAATCAGAACTTTAACTTAATGTATTGATTTCATAATGCAAAACATTGGTATTTGTTTGTTTTATAATTAAGGCTTCATTTGGGACGGCCTCTAATTGTTTCTTAAAGTAATTTTTTAGTATACAAATTAAAATTTGTATACTAAAAAGCTGCATTAAGTAGTAAAAAAGCCGTCCCAAATTTAGCGAGATTCACATACATATAGCACTCAAGATTGTAAGATTTACACATTTAATATGAAAAATTAACTATTTACATGCGTATCATTCAAAATTTTAAATTTCATAAAAAATAATACCATCCTCATCCTCTCGGTTACAATCCCATCATGACGACAAGGGATAGGTCGTCTGAGGAGAAATCACTGACCTTGTTGAGGTTTCGATGAGGGATGGAGGCGCAAAGGAAGTTCAGGGGAGAAAAAAAATGACGAGGGCATTACATAAAGATAAAGGAATAAAAAATCACTATGTGTGCGTCAGGATTCTGCGAGTGTGCGCAATAAAAATGCAGTGTGCACAGTAATTACGCTTTTATTGCAGTCACTCACAGAATAAGTGTATTTCTCCAGTCTGGAATCTGTATGTAATAATCTCTCCAGAGAAGGAGAGGGATGACGGTCGAAGCTCCTTCCTAATGCATTGTAATACATATATATGCATATATTATACCATAAGAAGACAAAATAGTTGAGTAAAAAAGAAGTGTGAGAGATGATGGGAGACATTAGTTGGATTCAAATTTGATGCTGCTTCAGCTTTGGACATTGTATGAAGATGGAAGGCCCACTGAGTAAAGGCAAAGATGAAGCAATGGAACGTGTTATGCCCCCCATGCTATAGCTATATGTCTTCACTGAGGGAGCATCCCATGGCCTATATTTTTATGTGAGGGAGTCCCACTTTTGCCTGCTAAGTATGAGAGAGGGCAGTATGATTGATTGATTAGGAGAGTAATTAAGCTAATCATTCAGCTAATTATAAGAACCAAATCAAAGATTCATTTGTAATTAATTTTCTCATAATTTTATAGAATGTTGCTATGTTTTTCTTATGAAAAAAGAATTATTGTATTAAGAATAATATGATAGAAGCAAATTGACAGAGCTATATTATTATAAGATCCTTAAGAAATGGTCGTATGATAGACTCCTTTGAAGATTTAGTAAAAGAAAATTTAAATAAATAAACATTTCAGCAAATATTTTATGTTCAAGACAAGCTTCTCGTGACCAGTTCAACTACCAATGGATTGACTCTCCTACAGTCTATTCTTGTTTTTATAAAGCCTGATGAGAGAGAGAGAGAGATGTAATAATAGCTTTACAATAAGTTAGGGCTAGGCGGAACTAGCCTTATTTTTCAGGGGGGCAAATTTATAAGTAACTGTTGGTGTTGCCTCGAATTTGGCTCGGCCCTTCACTACAAGAAAATAGGTCAATAACGACAAAAAAATATAGATAAAAAGAAAATGGTCATTAAAGATATATTTTAGCTATCAAAAGTAACCAATTGAATGATTATTTGTACTTGATGACTTGATGTAATTGATTAATCATTCAATTTCTATAAAATATATGTTAAAGTTTCCTTGAATTTTTTGCTCGACCCTTATTTGTTTATATTCTTGTTTGTCGTACGCTTCGCAGATATGTCGAGAGTCCAAGGGGGCAGCTCCCACTAACAGGGTTCGACCTGCCCTATTATAAGCATTGTTGGGGATATCTCATGCTTTTAAAAGCTCTTTTTCAACCACAATTTCAAATATGCTTTTCAAAAATTAGCTTTTTAAATACAAAATTTTAAAAAGTTATATAAAAGCTGGCATCCAAATATAATTAATTTTATTGACTGTTTTTCATAACATAAAAAAAGTTGAAAAAATTGTTCCAAATGAAGGCATAATCTTTCATATTTTCTTTAGAAAATGACCCTTATACAACTCTCATTATTATAAATGAAGTATAAATTTTAGTTGCTATACTAATCTTATATAGTTTTATTGGTCTTTCTCTCTCTCTTTCTCTACACACACACTCTCTCTTTCTGTCTTTGTCTCTTTCTCATTCTCTCATTCTCTATCTCTCTGTCAGGTGACCTGATGCAATAATTTGCCACACAGGCAAATTATTGTGTCAGGTGACCGAACGCAGAGATGCGTTCGGTCTCTCTCTGACTAAGTAACCTGCGCTTTACTGTAGCACTACCTGCGCTTACCTGTAGCAGTGCTACAGTAAAGCGCAGGTTACTGTAGACAGAGAGAGACCGAACGCATCTCTCTGTCAGGATACCTGATGCAATAATTTGCCACACACTCTCTCTCTTTCTCTCTCTTACACACACACTCTCTCTTAAAAAGCATGTTTTTATATTACTGGTCATCTAAATTATGCTTCTGTTGAGCTAACTTTATAAGTTTATTTATCTTCTACTATCTCTTGTAGGTAGAACAATACCTACCTCTTTGACATATTTATTAGTTATTTCCATTTGAAAACAGTCAAAATTATCATAAAATAATTTTATGATGAAATTTTCAAATAATTATTGCTCGTAAAGACTCTCATTATACAAAATTTTCTGTCGCAATTTCATGAACTATATTATATCATTAATCTGCCAGCGATAGAATTATGACCGTTTTGCGACTTGCGCATTTATCAATTTCATCATGCAGTAACATATTTGTTATGAAGCATTTTGCAAATCTGTATGCTTGCCGTAAATCCTTCGTGATTATTTATCGTAAATACAATATTAAAGACGACCATTTCTATCACAAAAAACTCATAAATTCATTGTAAAAATTATGCATCGATCCTTCTGAAATATAGAGGGAATTCCCTCACTTTTTTTACTTATCTACTAATTGTCAATTATATTGATGATTAATGTGAAAGTTAGTCGTTGTTGTGTAACTTAAAGCTTGTTTGGAATGACTTTCTTACTTATGTCTAAAATAGTTTTCTTTTACAAAAATTTCTAGTTCAAGAAATTTTTGTACTATAAAACTGTTCCAAAAAATAATTAGAAAAAAAAGCCGCTCCAAAATAATCCTAAATGAGCCGACAAATATTATTTTATGTTGATAATTTAGTCTATCCTTATTAGTAGATATAGATGATTTTAATCATAAGTGTTGCGTCCTGGAGTATTCACGGCGGTAGAGAAATATATAGTTTAACGTCTTAGCATTGTACGAAGATCCAGCACACAATCAGATAAGTGAGAGGGTGTAGCATTCACCAAAGTTTTTACGTGGAAACCCCTGAAAAGGGGAAAAAACCACGGGGAGCAACGGCGTCAAGGGGTGGTCCGGCAAAGCAACGACGTCAAGGGGTGGTCCGGCGGAGGTGAGGGCCTCAAGTGTAGGTCCGGCAGAAGTCCGAGCCACAGGTGGTGGCCTGGTGGAGCACAAAGCCTCTAGTGGTGGTCCGGTGGAGTAACGGCGTCAGGCGATGGTCCGACGGAGGTGAGAGCCTCAAGTGGAGGTCTGGCAGAGCAACGACGTCAGGCGGTGGTCCGACGGTGGTGAGGGACTCAAGTGGTGGTCAGGCAGAAGTCCGGACCATAGGTGGTGGCCTGGTGGAGCATAAGGCCTTAAGTGATGGTCCGGCAGAGCAACGACATCAGGCGGTGGTCCGGCAGAGGTGAGGGCCTCAAGTGGTGGTCCTGCGAAGCAACGGTGTCAGGCGGTGGTCCGGCGGAGGTGATGTCCTCAAGTGGTGGTCCGGTGGAGCAACAACGTCAGCTGGTGGTTAGTTGGAGGTGAGGGACTCAAGTGATGGTCCGGCGAAGGTTCGACGATGGTCCGGCGAAACTCCGGCGGTGGTCGAGGAGAAGCTTCTTCCTTCTCTTCTTCTCTTCTTGCTTCCCCTCCTCTCAAGAGAAATGAGGGGTCTATTTATAGATTTTTGGAGTGGCATGACCCGTAAATAGGTTAGACATCAAGGGTAAATAGGGAGTGGTTGGATGGACGGCCGATACCAAATCCTTTGATCATGGACCTTTTGTCAGACATTAAGAGGTCTTAATGATTTTGGAATTTGGTGATCTTGGGCTCGTTGGATTCTTCTCGTCGAGCCGCTCGATTCGACTATAAGCTTGTCATGTTTGGAAACCGTTTGGTAACTCAAAATATGGTTTGAACCTCCAACAACACTTCTAACCCTTGATTTGGACCTGTTTAGACTCAGATTGGGTTGAATTTGGTGTCGTTGAGTTTGTATTTCCGAGATGCTCAGTTTGATTGTAAGTTTATTGAAATCGGAGCTCAGATGATCCCGAATTTAATTTTTGAAGTTTCCGGCTTGATTTTGCATCGAGATTCGTGTTTGATCAAGATAATTTTTTGATAACTTATCAATACATAACTTAATTTTTTAGCCATAAAGATCAAATATTAATAAAATAATATTTTATTTTATATCTAATAATTTATTTAGTATTTTCATTACATTTATCCTCTTAATAGTACAAAGAATGATACAAAATTTTGATACAACAATACACGACAAAATTTTCCAATAAAGAATTAAGTATTATTAAATGAGAGTTTTTAATAAGATATTTATTAAATAACAAGTAACCTTATTCTTTATATTTAATTATTTAATAATTTTTTATTTATATTTTTAATAAGAAAGCAAGAGAAGCTGACAAAGTAAAATATAAAAGATATGACATAATATTGAAGGTTTCAAAGGGTCAATAGTCATGTTGATGATAAATAAATAAATAAAAAAACTGTTAGGTTTATAGAATAAGGAAAATTGTTTGGTATTCTTTTGGAATTTGGTTAGGGTCAATGGTATATGGATAAATCTTTTGGTTCAAGTTGACCCGTTCAATAAATGGGTAGGATCCGGATTGGATTTGACTTGTTTATTAAATGGGTCGGATTTGAGTTTACTTGACAACCCATTTTAACTAAAAATAATATGTTTAATATCTTTTCCTTAATTTTGTTTTTTTGTTTTTAACATGAGTATAATTTTCGTTTTTTTAGATCAAATATTTTAAATTTTACAGGTAATAATTTATTAAAATTTTGTTTAAGTTATATATTTTTTTAATCAAAACTGGTTAATAGTTTAGGTTCAGGTCATTCGGGTTGCTAGCTAGTTAGGTTCATGTTAGAGTTTTTAACCTGTTTATTAAAAGGGTCAGGTTTGGATTGATTAGATTTGAGTTGGGCAAGGTCAATTTCGAGTCAGACACATCGACTCATTTTTACACCCATTAGGGTCAATATAAAAAATTAGGAACGATAAATCATCATAGATTATTGGAGACTATTGTATTAGTAGAGAGAGAGGAGTTAATGAAGCTTAATTGATGGTTCTAAATAATATCTATATTGTTTTTTATATCATATGCTTATTTATATGATGCTTTTAATTACTATATTAAAAAAATAATATAAATTTAATATTTGATTCGTTCATTTTTTATAAAATAAAAACTATACCAATAATAAGAAATCAAAAGAAAGTAAAAAATAAATAAATAATAACCCAATTTTTAATTTCATCCAAATAGTGCCCATTTCTTGTATTTTTAAATAAATAAATACATAAGAGTTATATTTTACAAATGAAATATTATTATAAGACAATACAAAATAATCTCGAAATTCTCGGTGCCGGTCTTCCACAGTCTCTCTCTCTCTTCTCTCTCTCTCTCTAAACTTCTCTGTTGCGACGCGCTTTGAAATTCAGAAATTCCACACTTTCACCTACTCCGCTTCTACCTCGAACTACTAGTGGTTGGACTTTGGGCGAGCGGCACCAGAGAAGGGGATTTGGATCGGAAGCCGTTCCTCTCTCTGCTGCCGCTGCCGCCGCCGCCGCTGCTGCTGCCGCGATCTTCGATGGGCACACCGGCGTTACCAAGTCTCGGCAAGCATTGTTGCGTCGAGGACTGCAAGCTCATTGATTTCCTTCCTTTCAACTGCGACCGATGCAATCAAGTACGCTCTCCTGCTCTTCTTCGATTGGCATGCATTCTTGGCAATCCGGTTATTGTTTGATTCGTTTGTTAGATTGAATAGGGTGATTTTTGGATTAACTGGAAGTTTAAGAAGTCAATTGTAGTTCGGAGTTGCTTGGATAATTGAATTCTGTTTGGCTTCAAAGGCTCCTAACCTATTTTCTAGTTTTTCTATATATTAGCATCTCAGTTGATTCTTGATTGATCTTTAGGAGTTTAGCTTGTTGTGCGATTTCTGGTAGAGCTATGCTGTTGGGAAATTCTAATTTTCCGTTCTTAAAGCTTTTTTTATTTGAACATGAGACTGGAAATTAGAAAAAAAAACATTGGGTGCTTTGACTTTCTTTTCTTTCTCTCTGTAATTCTTAAGTTATTGATCGACGGTTAGGTTTTCTGTTGGTCAAGAAAAGAAATTCTACAGAGATCTATTGTCAAATGCTCTGTGTTATTTAGATGTTTAGGGTTTATTGAGATGGTATGATCAAGTGCTGTGTGTTTGGTACTGTGTTGTTTTGCACCATTTTATGCGTTTTCTTTGGAGTTTTGATTGGGGACATTTAGATGCTAAGAAAATAGGATAATTTTTTTTTTTAAAATTTCCGAGTTAGAGATATCATTGGATCAAACAGCTGATATGTACTAATAGTATAAAATTATATAGCATATTTATCATATCAATGAGCTCCTTAGAAATTTTAGCTGAACATACAAGCTATCCAAATGCATTGGCTATTCTTGAAGCCCTTCAGGCAATGCAACTTGAGAACAGATCATTTTTTTAAAAGGTTATGCGTGCAAACCTAACCATCTTCACAGCCACTTCTTCTTTCCTGATCTTAGGTTTTCCTTCAATTTCAGTGAATCTATTAAATAAAACTGGGATTGCGCACTATCATGATGAATTGGTTATTATACAAGCGCTTGCAGGAACAACTAACATGGTGGAAGAGAGAACAAGCTTGAAGATAGTTATTTAGTTGTAGAGAAAACTTACCAAATAAGCTTTAAGGGTCTATAAATAGATTTTAAGGACATTCTAATCCTTATAATGAGTAATTCGAATCTTCTTAGTTATGGACACACATTAAAACCTCTTTAATTCTCTCCACTACGCGGCTGGGTCCAGCCGCACCTATGGGAGAGGAAGCAATAGAGCGAGTGGAACCCCTCTGGTTCGTGGCCGGTTCAGGGTAGACCGGCTGGGTCGCCGCCGCTCTATCAGTTTATTGTAGCCATTATGTAAACTAAAGCCAACTTCTGTTACTGATCAACTGTAATGTTTGAAGTTAATCTCTTTCTCACCATATGATTTATTCAGAACTAAGTTGTTGAAATGATGAGCAGGTATTCTGTCTGCAACACAAAAGTTACACAAAACATCCATGTCCACTTACCAATCAAATAGATGTGACTGTCCTTATATGTCCACTCTGTGCTCAACGAGTTCACCTTCATCCAAATGAAGACCCAAACATCACTTGGGATATTCACGTAAACTGTGAGTGTGACCCATCAAATTATCAGAACGCAACGAAGAAGAAACTCTGTCCAGTCCCCGGATGCAAAGAGCCATTGGCCTTCTCCAATACAATTCGATGCAAGGATTGCACACTCGAACACTGTCTCAGACACAGATTTGCACTCGACCATGAATGTTCTGGGCCGAAGAAATCTGAAACTGGCTTCTCATTCATAAGTGTTCTGAGGAGAAGTCTCAAGCGTGAGCTCACACCAATTCAATCCTCAAATGGCTCGGTGAAATGGTGCTTAAATCTGCGAAATTCAGCCCTGAATTTACGTGCCTCGGCTGAAGCTGGAATGCAGAAGCTAAGTGCTGCAACTAACCATGCTCTGCAGAAGGCAAAAGAGGGTTTTGGTGCTGGTGGCCAACTTGTGGAACACTGCCTTCAATGCCCGGCAAGATTTTCCAACGTGAATGCTCTCATAGATCATGTGGAGAAAGTGCATGAAGATGCTGTACAGAAAGCTTGCGCTGTAGTAACAATTGATATTTGCCCTCTCTGCAGCAAAGCATTCAGGGATCCTGTATTGCTGGTAGAACATGTTGAGAACCATGAGAATGCTACAAGGTAAATCTAATGTTGTTTTCATTATCATTTTCTATGCTATTTTGGCTACTTTTTGTAAGTTTTAGGAATCATTTGTATGGATCTCATTTCGATTCTACTTTGAGGTTTTGTTTGTAATAGTTTTTTTTACTAATTTTTAAAGTAATTTTTTAATTAGTCATTTTAGAAAGCAGTACGAAAGTTATCTCAATTGATAAGAGGCACCAATTTAGATTGATGAGTTGGGTTTGTATCTGTCTGGAAGTCGACTTGACGTGAACCTGACTCCAACCTATTCATTATATAGATCAAAATACTTTTGTTTGAACTAGATTTAACTTGAACTTGACCCGTTTAGCCTATTTATTCAGCCAAATTAAAATTTTAGTAAATTTTGTAAGTCCGAATTTATTAAATTTGAGGGTGCTAAATCTTGAAAATTAATAAAATAATACTTATATTAGTATAATAATTAATTATTAATTATTAAAATAATGAAATATTAAAAAAATGTATTAAATATCTAATTTCTAAATAAAGATTTTAGAAATTATATAATATCTCTGCCATTGCCTATCTATTTGAATAATTTCTCTTCGCTTTGGTTTGTCTATGCTCTTCCGAGAGCCTCCTCGCCTGCGGCCCTGTCTAGGGTTTGCTTATCCTAATCGCCATTTCTTCTTCGGTTTTGGCGTGAAGAATAGTTTAGAGAGATTTGCTAAAGGAGCTTCGTTGCCTTCTTCGACGACTTTGTTCCTTTTGGATCGGAAGTCACGACGGGAGCTCGCCGCGAAGGTAACGAATAACGATCAAATTTTCTCCCGTTTGCGAGCTTCTTCGGTTAAATCCCGTAAATTTGACGCAAAACGGAGAAGGAACGGGATTTAAGTTTCTGCAGGATTTAGGGCATCCAAACAGTCCGCAGAAGTTTTATCCATAAATCCATTAAATTCTTATCTAATTATGTATCTTATAAAAGCTGTGTCTCCCCCAAATTTGGGAAATTTTTTTCCCCTTCTCGCTTGAAATTCTAACTATACTCCTATTATAGTAATTTTAGCTCTGCGACTCATCTTCTTAGAAAATTGAGATTATCGAAGGCTATTCGAAGCGTTTCTTACTTGTTCTGCTTTCTCTTCCACATGCTTCTCCTTTCATGGTTTTGATTTAGTACTATCCTCTCTAATTCCTAAACTTTATTTATAATGGAAGTGTTCCTCACTCTCCTAAGCCTATACAAACTTCATCAGCACCGCATATTTCTTATGCATTTCCTTATGGAATGACACTCACAGTTATTTACATTAATGTAAGAGTAACAAAATGTAATAGAATAAATACTCTGAAGTTTTTTGAATTAGTGTAAGAGTTATGGATGAGGGTTTTTTTTTTATTATTTAGCTCGAAGTAAAATAAATGATATGTAAAGTTCAAAGACGATGGTGATCGGTGGCGGTTGACAATGGTGTTGGAGGCCAAAGGCGACGGACGGGTCATCAATAATGGGGTGGTGGTGGCGGCTAGCGGTGGGTTGTTGGTGTTTGTCGGCGGCGATGAGTCCTTGGCAGGTGGTGGCAGTAGTCCTCAGTGGTGGGTGGTGGCGTTAGTTGGCCGTAGGGGTGGTCGATAATGGGGGTGGTCGGCGGCAAGTGGTGGTTGCTGACATAAGCGGATCCACCAAGGACTCAGGATGGGCAAATATTTAAAGAGGATATTTTGGGTATTTTGCCCCCTCAAAAATATTTTTTGCCCTAATTTTATCAATCCTAAGCATCTTTGCCCATCTCTCACACAAATTTTTTTTTGCCCACTCTGAAAAAAGAAGTTGGATTCGCCCTTGGGTGCTGACAATGTTTCTTGATAGTGGTAAAAAAGGTTTTTTTGGCTTAAAATAGGGGGAGTTTAATTTCCTTAAAAATAAAATAAATTGCTTTAAATCATATTTAGATATTTAATTCTGCATTATGTTTTCATTCAAGCAAATGCTAATATTTTACTTCAAATCAAACTTACCCTACATTTGATCATCAGCATCTTAATATTTTAAAATAATTTGAATTACTCCTTTTGCTTGTATATATCCTGCTTTTCTTTTGATTATATGTATTTTAATAATTTTTTTGCAGCTGAATTATGTTGGTGTAGCCATCTGAAACATAGACCAAATTGCCTCAGAAATCATATTCAGCCAAAGGCTTAAGCAGAGCTGATTATTGGTAACATTTCTGCGATTTTTTTTTCCTCTGTGTGCTTTCTGCCAAGAGCTGTAGTTTTGTTTGCATCTCCAGAAGGAGATGGCTACATATTATTATAAATTGTTGGAATTTTAAATTGTGGAGGTCAAAATGGTCTTATAGTTAAACATTTAGGTTTTGTTTGGGACAACTTTCATACTACTTTTTAAAACGGTTTTTTAGTACAAACATTTCAAATTCAAGAAATTTTTGTGCTCGAAAGCTGTTTTAGAAAGAAAGAAGAAAGCTGTCTCAAACGAAACCTTAAGTTTCGTTTGGAACTGCTCTCTTACTGTTTTATGAAACAGCTTTGTAGTACAAAAAAATTTTTAAACGAAAAAATTGCTTCAAAAAATAGTACGAAATTCATTCCAAACCAAATCTTAATTTTGTTATTTTCCACTTTAGAGCATTATTGCCACAGAAATGTGTCTACAGCTTGAGCAAAATGGGTGTCTAATTACTCTTCTTAGTTTTTTCTTTAATATCATCTCTCTCTCTCTCTAACTAAAATATTCTTTTCACTAATGGTTGATAGTAAATTATTTTGGAAAAAAATGGGCAAAATGATTGTCAGAACCTCAAAGACTTGAATTTTTTTGAGATAAATATAATAGAAATTTTGATTATTTTTTCATTTAATATGCTTCTTTTGAAATTAATTTGTTAATTTTGAGACCCATTATTCTATTTTTTTTTCAATTACTTTAGTGTGATTGTAAGTGCCTGAAAGGTCTTTTGGCTGTTGTTCAGTTATCTAATGCATTATTAGGATCATTTTTTATTTTTAGTTTTTAATTTTTAATTTTTAATTCTAGAATACATTCATTTAATAAAAAAATTTATTATTTTTAAAAACTAAATAATTTTAAATGTAACATTTTTGTGTTGGCTATAAATCATATTAAATATTGTGTTAATATTACTTTATTTTTAAAAATTATATATTTTTTAATTTTTTATTTGATTTAAAAATTATAATGTACATATATAAATATGAAATTTAAGTTTAACATATGTGAATATATAAAAATTTCTTGA